AGACATGGCCCCAACATTAAAGAACTCAGTTTAATGGAAAGTCAATGGTGTAAATAAAAAATTAAAATACAGCTTTAGTGAATAACAGAATGGAGTATGTGTACAGAAAAGACATGAAAGAATGTTTTTTGTTTTTTTTTTTCAGGCTCACTGAAAGGCCCACCTGATGAAAATATGCACATCCTTCCCCAAACCTGCCACCGTGTATACAGTACTGACAATGAGAGTTATTCATTTGGGATAAGGAACTGTTTCCCAAAAGTCCACATACAATGTAGGTGTTACTTAGAAAAGACTAATTCCTGAACACCTATTATTATATTAGCATGGATTCACTTGTTCTAAAAATAAAAGGGCGGGGGTAGGATGGGACACAAGATATGTGTGTTTGGGTGAGAAGATCATTTAGAGGTTAGTTCATGGGACACAATCAAGGACTAGCTCAGATGGGACGTTAAGTTCAGAAGGACTAGAGAGTAGACCAGCATTGTGAGGTCATGAGCTAAGAGAGTCAGTGGGGCTTGTCCAGACCAGCCTTCTTAAAAATGGGGTTATTATTCACTGTTTTCTCCTAAAACTAGGTCACTAATTAATCCATAGATATGAGGCATATTTTTCCCACTTTCTGGAGTTTTTAATGATATGGTCTTTGGAGTCAAATCAATACCACCCTCCTATTTTCTAAGACAGAGTTAGGATTTCCTCACGTGCTGTTACCAGCAAGACATCATGCAGATGTAGGAAGGAAAAAAATCTGAAAACTGAGGTTTCTCATGCCAAAACATTAGGAAATTGTGTGCTCAGATAACTGGTGGGTGATTTTCCTCCTGTCCCTCCCATGAAAGGCTGCTTTGGGTTGTTGTCACCATATATATGACTTCTCTGTTCTCTTTGGACAGGTCACCAATTTCTCATCTTACAGACAGCTGGTGCCAGCTACGCCATCTAATCTTTCTTTAATCGGCTTCATCAGTTTTCTTTCCATCCTGCTTAAGCAGATGAGGGGGAAAAATGAAAGCCTCTAAGAGTTTAAAAGAGAGGCCAAAAGTTTAAAAGTTCAAGAGAGGCCAAATAATGACTGAGCATCATTAATTACCAACAAAATTCAAGTCTCCAGATTCATCTGCTGTTCTCCTTATCCTCATTACACAATGATAAATCAAAAAATGATTTTCATTTTCACACAGTGTTCACATAATATGTCTTTGGTAATTACAATTCAACTGTTGCTAAGATATATAATGTTTCCTCTAATTGACCAAAAAAATGTAGACAGGTTCTTGAAAGAGATGTTTATTACTAATGAAAACAGTACAGTTATATACACGAGAAAGATCATTATATATACATAAAAACTTTAAAATTTTTGTTTCTCAGTAGCCAATATTAAGACTAGAAAATTTCAGCAAGATAGTACAGTTAAATGAATTTATTTGTTCCACAATCTGGATAAAATGTCATTATAAATAAGATGAAAAAGAAAAGTCTTTCACTATCCATACTCCATATTAAACATATATTATATTATGTACACTATCACTTTATCATCACATAGAGCTGATATAAAAATTGTACCTGTATTCTCCGATATGATAGGTTTTTTTTCTATATATGTCCTTAATCTTAAAAGAAGTAATTAAATGTAAGAGAACAATATTTTTAACCTGTGTCTTACTATCCTGAGGAAAATGGTTTAACCTGTCTGTTCTTAATTCACAAGAATTGTGTAAGGTTTTACAAAATGCATGAGTCAAGGAAATTTCCAGGCAAATTCTTTACATCATCAATTATATTATGGTCCCCTCCCACTTCCCACCTCTAGCCAGGACCCTTTGTGAAACACAATGCAATGGATTTGAGGATTGTGACCTTCACATCATTTTCTTGCATTTATTACACAGTTGGGAATAGAATGAGCTAGAATCCTGACTCACTGCAGCTGGATTGTAAATGAGGAAGGATAGCCCCACCCATTCCTACTGGGAATTGTTAGAAATATTTTAGAAAAAAACCCCACAAAGTTACCCATATTTCTTGGCTAAAAAAAAAAAAATCTCAATTTAATATACTTATTCTCCTATATCAGTTCTTTCCTTGTGGAATAAATATGTTGTCTTTCCATTGCAAAATGGAAATTCAATTCAGAATTGAATATATCAAAGTATCCATTTTTGAAAACATAGAAATGATACAAAGATACCAGCTACCAAAAAATCATAAAATGGAAGGCAAACTTATAAAACAAGCATGCAAATGAATAACTAGTTCAGAAATCATATTTGAGCCATATTTTTAGAGTATACAAAGAGTATTTGTACAGTTTCAATCTTTTTGTTACAGGTAATAGTAAGACAGGATTGTTCAACTACATTTTAATTTACTATGTGGCAAAAAAAAAAAAAAAAATTCAGAGGCAGGGAGCCAACCCATGGTGACTAGACAATGCAGGGAAAAAAGCAGAGGTGGGAATAAAATCAGGTAAAACCTGTATTCATTTTATTATGTAAAGTTAATAGGACTTTAGGCCACATAAATGTGAACAAAACCCTTAAACCATTGCAATAGTGGAAATGGAGCCCTATTTATCAAATAAATTCCCCTTCATCCATAACCTATGAAAAAAGAATAGTGTATTAACTCAATCATAAAGGCTATGCTTGTAAAACTCCACAGTACCTTATGAACCAATGAAAATTGATATTATGAAAAAATAAAGGTTACTTACCATGCACTTTTAATGCTAACTACATTTTATTATTTTCAAGTAAACTGATAGTCTTATTGAATATTATGTTGCTAGGTTAATGAGAATGTTCTAATATTCAGAACATTTCATTCCTCAATTGTATAGCCTAAATGAGAGTTTAGCCTAAGACTTTTAAATGACTACATGACATTATATCACCTTGGGGAAAGGTCTTTTAAAAAGCTCATTAGGGGTAGTTTTTCCCATCAAACTGATAGCTCCTTCCATGCTTTACTTCATAAATGAATGGATCTTCATTGTGGAGACTGCATTCTTCAACCTTTCAACAGTGGTTCAGCTACCACAAAGGTAGGACTTAAGTCTTTATTCCTGAACTGAGGCCTATTGTTCTTTCCCTGATAGTTGAGGGGTTCCTTTACTCTTCCATTTCATTGGTGTGGAGCAGACATTCATGCAGAGCAAAGTGGTTTGCTCTTGCATGAAAAGGTCATGTGAAAGGAAATTAGAGATGGTAACATGTGTCAGACCTCCCCAATTCCCACTTCACTGCTTGGCTCATGAAAACCAACAATCTTCTTTGGCTCAGTCTGTGCTTCTCCTAAGTGTTCTGCCCTAGATGAATTTATGTCCATCTAGAATTCTTCCAGCAAGCACACACTCAAAGGGTTGCATTCTAGGGTTAATTTGTGATTTAAAAAAAAAACACACATTTTCATCTAACACAAATAGTTTAGGGAAAAAAATTAAAATCTAAAGCAGAAAACTTTAAAGCATTATAAGTGCTAATGATATTTATCACCACTAAATGTTTGACTTTATTTGTAAACCTTCAAAGATAAGTATCAATTACTTTTCAAATGAGCCCAGTAGAAAGTGTTCCAGTGGTGGCTTGTACCCATGGTGAATGGATAGAGGATCCATTATGTGAGTAGGGAATGAAAGGGAATACTGAGATAAAGGAGCTATCTTGACACATATGAACACACAAACACACACACACACACACACAACCTGTGATCCATCCATACTTTGCAAAATACCTGGATATCTTCTAAGGTTTTCACTAGCTTTGCTGTGGCATGTACTGAGCCCACACATTTAGTTTCCAGTGTCCTCATAATGAGTGGAATTGGCAGTCATCAAGTTGAGAAAAAAAAAATGAACCAAGTATTTTACCTAATGATCAGCATATACCTCATTACTTATACCTGGTCAGAAATAAATCAAAATGCTCAAGATTGTTTTTGGCAAATATGAAGATGTCTAAAATAAAATGCCTGTATTCATAATAACCTATTGACGTATGCAATTTATCATTAATAGTGATGATTATTTGGCCTTCCCCGACGCCCCTCCAAAGCTATCCATTGGAAACAACAACAACAACAACAAAACCACTAGGGAGAAAGAGGAAAACTTCTATCCTCAGTCAAAATTTATATAAAGTATGGATTTCCTATCTGAACAATTTAAAAAATATTTTAATTGCAGTGAGTGTCTGATGCTGTTTTTTTGTAAGCAGAAATTAATTTAAACAGGACGTATTACACAAAGGAGAAGCAACGCAAATGAACTAATCTATCATATGTGAGGTAGTTAAGTGCTGTTTTCCAAATTAATATACCAGGAACTAGAGGAAATCCAGGATTTTCCCAAGACATGTTTAGGTCTCAGAAGCAGTCAGGGAACCTATTAGTAGGTCCACCTACTCAGTCTACCAGTCAATCGGCAAAGTTTATTCTCAGCACCGTGGCCTTGGCTGACACCCACTCCCTCCTTGCCCACATGATTAAATTCGTCTTTAGATTAATGTGAATATTCCAAACTTTATACATATTAATATGTATTGCTCCTGAAAGCTTAGAAAAATAGGATATTGACATACTGAGCATAGCAATAATGTGGTCTTGAATAATATACTCAGGAAATTCAAAACTCTAGTGAAAGCATAAAATACAAGCCTAATTCTATACTGCAACCAAAAGGTAGCTTTTTCTTTAGCAATTTGATCAAAAAGAAAACATATTATTTAGATGAATATCTGATTATAAACTATATTAAGACTCCTTCAAAGGCTTCCCCATTTCACCTAACAATAACAAATATGCTACAGAGTATTCACTTTCTAAGCCTGACTTCACCTTGCTCTAACAGTCTCACCTTATTTTCCTGCTAGGAAACCTGAGGCACAGTTCTTAAGAGACACCCTCAAATATTCAGAAGCGGACAGCAATTGTGGCCCTAACTCCAAGGTCCAGCTTTTCTCTTGTGGAATACTTTCCAGAACTCGTGCAGTTTTTCATTTCATTAAACACAGCTTTCGGTCTTTGTGGAAATAAAAATGGTCACATCTCTTACTACATTCTGAAATTATAAGCTGTAAAAAAAAGTATACCCTGCATTTAATTTTTTTAATAGAAAACTCTTCTTCCAACAGTGTTGAAAATCCAGGTTAATTATATGACATGGGTAACAAGTAATCTCCATCTTCTCCAGGCTTCTAATAGTTTCAAAATAGGAGTTTTGGTTAAAGCTCTTCCCTGCCATGAAAAAACAAAGAGCAATTAATTGAAAAAGCCAGAATGTACTGAAGTGCATTTTTATTGTAATATATCACCAAGCTATATTCCTAAAATCACCAATACTTTTTTTCCTTCTTTGAAGGAAAATTATCCTGTGCTATGCTAAGCTTAAAAAAAATCCACTCTACAAAGACTATGTAGTGCTTTCACTAAATCCTAAATCAAGTTCATTAAAATTTTCTTGAGCTACCTGGTGGGTAAAAAATCTGAGACTAAGTGAAAACTGAAAATGCTGTATGGATTATGCTTTCAATGCCATCATCCCTCTGCGAACGAGACGGTTGTAGTGTCTATGTGGACTTTATTTTTTTGTAGGATCTTCTATTTAATAGCTCAAATCTTTGTTTTATGGATTTTTTGTATATTTTAATGCCAGAGAGTTCACTAGAAGAAACTAAACCATGTAGCCAATCTGCCTATCCCTAATTAGGCTCTTCTGAATCCTCTCTTTTGATGTCTTAGCCTAGATGAGATGCATTTTTAATTCAGGGAACATTAAGGCACATGGCTCAGAGATGTTTATAAAGGGTCTTATGAAAGACAAAAATGTAATTCATGTTCTTTCTATTGGATACTATGGAAATGGAACCATGGGCCATATCCTGGCTGAAGATGCAAGGATGAGTGGATGCTCTGGTTTAAAAGGCAGACTCCTAGTAATATTGCTCTGATCGCATTGAGCAAGGTTGGCAGCATCTACAAGGAGCCAAGCCAACATTCAGAGATTTTTAGAGGCATGTCCATCATGCACATGGAATTAGAAAAGCATCTTCCTCATCTTCCTTAGGTATCAATTTTCCCTTCTATCAGAGAGGAGACCATAAGTGAAGAAGCTGCCTATCAGAGAAAAAGGATCTGAAGCCAAGGGGCAGAGGTTCCACTCAGGAACATGGGTATTATTCTGACCCTTTGTCAATTTCTTTTACAAGCACACATGAATTGCTCTTGTTTTTCTCTTTTAAAAGCCAAGTGAAAATGACTGGCTGGTTCATATCTATGAGCAAGCGCCTCTGTGAAGGCAGCAGTAGGAACTAATATCAATGCCAAATTGTAATCCCATCCACTCTACTCAGCTAATGCCCACGACAGTCTCTTTACAAGGTAGTTTATTTTTGTAACCTAAGTCTGGTTATGGATCCTGGGGAATAAAGAAAAAAATTACAGACACTTGCCCCAAATGCATGCTGAGAAAAGCAAATGGAGAGAGTGAAATCAACATAAACTTGATAGAGGCAAGAGATACACTTTAATGGGATGTGGGATTCAAAGCATACTGAAAAGTACCTATAGAGATGGAAATGGAAGAATGTGTTAAAACATGTGAGTATTTATGGCTCACATGTTAAAACATGTGAGCATTTATGGCTACTCAAATGCTTTTTATAGAAACCATCTATGAAAAATATTTTATAGCATTGGATTACCAGTGAGATTTATGCTAACAAGAAAGAAAATATGACACTGTCCAGGGATCTCTAGTCCAAAACAGACAGTGCCTTAAATTTAAATCTTCTCTGCTGCTTCCTATCATTGTTATCTTAAGTAAGTCCCTTCAACTTTCCAAGGCTTCCTTTCTTCAAACAAGAAACACTCAACTTATAAAGCCGTTATAAGGAATAAATGAGGTCATCTGTGTGGACATGCACAACCTTTAAAGAGTTCAAGAAATGCTGGGTAGCCCAAAGACCCTATCACATGGACAGGAATTACGTGCTCACTCTGGTGGCACTACTCTAAGGCAACTGTGAAGACCATGGGTTGGGAGTTTCTTTCAAATGCTTACATTTGATGTTCTCTCACAAAAGCTGCAAACTCGGGGTCATTGGCATACAGTTCCAAAATTCTCATTCTCTCTTGAATTTCCTTAAACAAAAAAGAAAAACAGGATATACAATGCATTAGAAAAATCTCAACAGGTTTATAAGGAATTATAACTTTCTGGGCTATTCAGAGGAGAACTATGAGAAAGAGATGCTGTTTCAGAGAAATGGACGATTCTGCATATACTGTCCTAGATAACATATGTGTTGCTCTAACGCAGAAATATTTCTTAAAAACAAACAGAGGAATACAGAGTATTTGCTAATAATAGAAAGTGGAGCCAGTGGGTAGGAAATAAGATACAGCTCAGAAACAAATACTTTCTGCTTATCACATTGGGAGATGTGAAGTAAAAACCAACTATGAAATATTTTTTACCCTTTCTTGAAGCCCATGTTCTTGCATGCACACACACACACACACCACTACACACACACACACACACACACACACACACACACACTGCTGGAGCAGTAGCAGCAACAGTGCAATGGCAGAAATGCAAAGTTTCCTACCTCTTTGGAAAGCTCACTGCTCTCATACATCTGTCTGATTTCTTCTCTGCTCAGGCCACCAATCATCTCTCCGACCGCAGAGCTGTAGAAGGGATGCTGAGGATAGGGCCCCTCATACTGCTCACCTCCTTCCCCATTGCTTTCATACACGGGGTTGTACTTCACAGCATTCTCAACGGATGAGAGGCTGTCAGGCTGCCTGGTGGAGCCACGAAAAGAAACATATGATTGATTCAGGTTCTTCTTGGGATGCTCAACTATCTGGAAGACTATTTATCTGGGACAAGATTTCCACTGGAGAAGAAAAGGAGGTGAACTGGAGACATGTGGTGGGGGTGGGGTGGGAGGGAGGGTGTGACTGTGAAAAATATCCAGATCAATTATCAAAAATGACTTATCAGGTGTTACCATTACCTCCTCAACTACATGGCAAGTGCTATGTGGAACTGGCCCATGTCTCCTTATTTGCCCACAGTGCTTGGCACTCAATAAATGTTGGTTGGGAGCTATGTCTGCTAGTATACAGTATTTCATTAAATAAATGCAGCTCCATCATTCATAGAGTTATACATATCAAAAATCAGTGTGTATTCCTTGCTGTGGTGAGATGAAAAGAAAGGAAAAAAAAGAAAGAAAAGAAAATTTAATAAGAAAAACAAAATCAGTGTGTAACCACACAGAGAATCTGATCAAAATATAAATATTGGGGTTAGGGGGAGCTGGGCCTCAAATTCAATTTAAGTCTATAAATATTTACTGGGCATTGATTATGTGCCCTAGGACTGTTCTAGATGCTGACAATACAAAGAATTTGTTGTAATTGCTGCCCTGAAAGAGATTACGGTCTAATGAAAAGTCATACTCAATAAAAAGTGCGAGAACAATGATAGATGTATGTTCTAGGTGCTCTGGGAACCCAGGAGGGGTGTCTCCTTAGGCAAGTAGGAAAGTGAGAGAAGATAAACTAGACCTAGAGTAGTAGCTCTTATAGACTCTAGCACAGAAGAAAAATACAACCTGGGATTATGATCACATAATAGTTCAAACAGTCCCTGGACCCCTAGTCTAGTAAACAGATCAGGTTTTATCACCCCCATTGGTGAAGCCACACCTAACTACCAGAGAACCAGATTTCATTTCTCGCCAGATTCTTATCTAGATTTAAAATCTGGCTAATTGCCACTTGGATGGGCCAAAGGAAAACAAGCTGTAACAGACCTGGTCCTCACACAAGGGGAACTCACCTTTTCCATCTCATCTCCATCAACCCCTCTTCAAACACTCCCCACCTTGAAACAGGCATTCTGGCCTCACACAACAATGCCTTTCCTGCAGTGTCCTGAGGTTCACACTTGCCTGACTTTGCTCACGTTCACTGATCTAGCTAGAGTGTGTCCCACCCCAAGAGAAGCAAATGTCTGCTCTTTGGTCCAGCTAAATGTCAATAACCATCATTAAAATTTTTATGATTCTCTCTCTCAAGAAAAACTAATTTTGTACACCTCATCTAGGCTCCTTAGCATCCTGTTCATAGTGCTATTTAAGTTCCTTTTCAATTTGACCCCCTTTGAGGTCAGGATCCATGCTTTTATTCAACTTTATAGCTCTCTCCCATCCACCCAGCTCCTTGTCTGATATTTGGCACACGGTAAGTACTAAATGAATGAGTAAACAGAAAGTTTTATTCCATCAGAGAGTTCTTTTTCTCATATACCTGAGGGGTCTCTCTCTTTCTCTCCTGATGTTCTGTGCTTGGAAAGCTCTGATGAGGAAGAAGATGACCGCAGAAGAGATGAGAAGAAGTCCAACCACAGAGGCTATGGTGATGCCTATGACCAAGGGCTCGGACACAAACTCCTCACAGTGCTCTCCTCGGTACCACCAGTTCTCGCCCACTCTGCATCTGTAAGCAACAGTCACCAAGTCCAAAGTCTGAATCCCTCTGCTTAAGTAACAGTTAAAAGTGGAACGAAACTTCAGAAGGACTGAGGAAAGGTAGAGAAATAAATGCTGACCACATGAAGCTTCATTAAAGAGTTGAATATATAGGTTAAACGATCACACAGTTTAAGGCTGTGCATAATGCCTGGCACAGACCTAGCAGGTCCTCAGTGACTATTTGTAAATGACTGAATAAAAGAAAGAATTTAACACCTCCATATTTGTGAATAATGAAACAACAGGCGCAGGAAGGAAAGTGGCTGGTATTAGGTTCCACAGTTAGCTACAGAGCTGGGTCTGGTACTCAGGCCTCCAAACTCCTCACGTCCTTTCACCACACTAAAGAGATCCTCCAGGCCTTAAGGCCTCAGACTTGTAAGAAAATGTCTTCTATCCCCAGAGCAGCAAGGAAATCACCACTTTTCAAAATAATACTAATTTCTCTGAACACAAAGGGACTGTTTTTACCCTTAGTGATCTAGCTAAACTTTACACTTTTTCATATGGAAAATTCTAGCTCATTTCTACCCGTTTCCTCTGTTTTGGGCATTTACACCAACATTTTGCCACTTTGACTTTACATATTTATGTTTCTCCTGCTTATTCTTAGCAATCTCTGAAGAAAATGCTTAACAACCACGTAGCTTTGGTTGTGTGTGGTTCAGAGGCTGATCTGTTAGCCTTATTTAAGTGGAGTGGTGGGGAAGGATGTCAGGCTAACTGAGTCTGTTTCTCTGCAGCATTCTGTTGGTTCTACCTTTGAAAAATGGATTTCAGATAGACTTAAAGAAAAATATTTTTGTCACCACTTTGAAAACTTCAAATACTTGCTTTTCTTTATTTTCGTTTTTTGGTTTGTTTGTTTGTTTTGAGACAGAGTCTTGCTTTGTTGTCCAGGCTAGAGTGAGTGCCATGGCGTCAGCTTAGCTCACAACAACCTCACACTCCTGAGCTCAAGCAATCCTGCTGCCTCAGCCTCTCAAGTAGCTGGGACTACCGGCATGCACCACCATGCCCGACTAGTTTTTTCTAGATATATTAGTTGGCCAATTAATTTCTTTCTATTTATAGTAAAGACGGGGTCTCGCTCTTGCTCAGGCTGGTTTCGAACTCCTGACCTCGAGCAATCCGCCTGCCTCGGCCTCCCAGAGTGCTAGGATTACAGGCGTGAGCCACCATGCCCGGCCTCTTTTCTTTATTTTTGAATGAATACTCAGTAGGACTAAGAGGAGCTCAAAGCCATTGAGAATATAATCCAAGTAGAACAATAAAATTTGTTTTCACTTTCAGAAATAGGGGAAGGTGTTGATGTTATGCCTACTCTTCATTTGAACACCAGTTGCCTTATAATCACCACTAAAAACTATAACACAAAGATCTCCAACTACTCTAACTACTCTCAGTAGGACATATTTAGATACTTTTTTTACAGCTCCCTAATGCATAAAATAACATAATAATTGAAATGGGAAAAATCCAGGCCTATTAAATGACTTGGTCTTAATATGAGAATCAGATGACACTCATCTACTGCCTAGATATAATTTCTGTAATAAATATTAAAATAATTATCCTAAAGTTATATGTGCAGAACCCTTTTCTTCAGAGGAAGTATGTGTAGCCTTTATAGCCAAATCCCTAACTACAACATACCTACAAATGGCCCCATGTCCAGGCATAATGTCACACTTCCCATCGTTCAAGCAGAAGTCAGGCTGCAGGTCACAGAGACTCTGACAGGGCAGTTCTTCCACACTCAGGTACCCAGGGTAGCATCTGCACTGTGCTTCTCCACTCCAGGGGTTGACCAGACACTCGGAAAATTCATTGCAGGCCTGAAACTTGCATGGGTTGGCTTCATTACCTAAAATGTTAAACATACCAAAAAATAATACAAGGCAAGGCAAGGCACAGAAATTGGGGTACACGAAGCCCCTTACTAAAGCTTTCTCCAAAAGTACCTTGAGACAACCCCCTTCCTAAACCATTAAAGTACACCATCACCATCAAGACCACAAAAAGTTTCTGATTCATCCTAGATTGATAAGCTGTTGTCAAATTTCTCTGAAACTCAAAGCCAAATCATAAAACCCTATGACCTGCGTAAGCCTTAACATGTTTTATCTAGGGAGTATGTAGAAGCTTTAAAATCCATGCTGTGTAATTATAGATCTAAATTAAACACCGTTTTCATGTACTGCCTACCCTAACCTCTGCCTCAGCTGACCGCCACTCTGCATACACTGCTACATGTCCCACACATGGGGAGACAGAGCCCAGAGAAGAACTGGTAGGAGCCTCAGGGATGGTTATAGCTCAGTAAGATCAGCCTAGGAACAGTCAAGACTTGCAGAAGCCAATGTTAGGAAAATAAATCAGCCCTGTACCTCCTCAGGCCATTCCCAATAATATTTTGGCTTCAGTAACTTTATTTTTCATTCATGGAGTGCGAGAAAATGACTATTTTAAAAAATTAATTAGGACAATAGCCAGTGGAAAATGATCTAAGACACTGACCATGGATGGGCCTTCCATCCTACCATGGTCCCCACATGTTCCTCCCTGGTGAGTGACAATCTGTGAATGCCAAATGGGCAAATGGTGACACAGACAAGAGGAAATAGACAGAAATGATCCACAGACTCACCCATACAAAAAAATACAAAATTGAAGTAAATGCACTTATTTATTATAATTCTCTTTAAAAAGAAGTGGACTGACTTTTGTAAAAAGTTTTATAAATCATAACTGTTTACAGTTGTATAGCTACTCAAACGTTTTATATGTTATTTGTTTAATCCTTACAATAACCCCTTGAAATACATAGGCCAGGCAATATTATTCCCATTTAATATATGAGGGACTAAGACTTAGAAATAAAATAGCTCATCTAGGGTCAAATAAATGATAAATGGCAGAGACAAAAAATCAGGCCTTCCAAATTATAATTAATTATTTCTTCCACTACACTGCATGGCAAAGAATGCGCAAACAGCCTTAGAAAACTTAAGTGGCAAGAGATTATATAATTGAAGATTAGCTAAATCATTTTCCTCACTTTGAATGAATAACAGTCCTTCAAGAATTGCAAAGGAAAGAATGTTTATTTCTTTCTCAGTTAAAGAATAGTGCTTTTCAAATTGGTATTAATGGATCAACACCTAAGTGGACATATAGGAATAACATTTATCGGGTGTCGGGAGGGTGGGTGGGGGGAGGAGGGGATGGGTATATACAAACACGACAAGTAAGATGTGCCACATTTGGGGGATGGACATGCTTGAAGCTCTTACTCAAGGGGGGAGGGGGGCATGGGCAATATATGTAACCTTAACACTTGTACCCCCATAATATGCTAAAATAAAAAAATAAAATAAATAAAAAAGAATAGTGCTTTTATAACAGTTTGAGGTAAAAGGCACTGAAGAAATATGAACCACGACATTCCAACTGATGCCTACTTGAAACCACTGTCTTCTGGTATGTGGAAGGTAAAGAACAAAAGTTCAGGTTTTGACAGTATTCTTTGCATCTAAGTCTTCCAAATAAAAGTAATGGTTCATGTCATTCATTCACAGAATTTTTAGTAGCTTCAAGGCACTGTGTTAAATGTTGGCTAGAAAGTGGTTAATGAAACAGACATAATCTCAGTCCTTAGGAAAAGCTCATCTAGGAAAAATAAACATTAAGCAACTATGCACATAAATTAACATAATTACAATGGTGATAAACTGTATAGGGGAAAAGAACATGATGGTATAAGAAAGTAACAGAAAAGACCTGATCTAAATTATGGGTGAGACAGTGAAAGTCTTGAGGAAGGGACATTTGGACTGAGGATGAGCAGTAGTGAGCCAAGAGGGAAAAGAGATTCAAGCAATGGAGGCAGTGTGTGCAAAGGTTTTAAGGCAAGAAAAAATTTAGTGTATCTGAATAATAAAAAACAAGTTAGTTTGACTAGAACATGTTGAGCAGAGAAGTTAGTTTCATTGTATGATTTTAGGGAAGAAGATAGGGACTAGGCTTTGGGGCTGTTGAACCAGGTAGCCCTTGAAGTGTTTCAAGCAGCAAAGTGAGACGATCTGACTGGTGTTTTAAAAAGAGTACCATGGCTGCTGTTTGGAGAATGGTCGGGAGGAGGAGCAAGGGAGGATACTGGTCCACGTGAGAGATCATGGTGATGTGGATAGAGTAGTGGCCACAGAGATAAGAAGAAGAGCATGGATTTGAGATACACTTAGAATTAAGAATCAATTTAAGTTTGGTGAGTGACTGAACGTTGGGGGTGATGGGAACTGAGGAATCAGGAATGACTTCTCAGCTGAGTAGATAAAGCTTCCAATTATGGAGATGGAGAAGCTGAGAGAAAATATAGATTTAGCTGGAGGGCAGGGAGATATACAAAACAAGAGCTCCCTCCCACATATCTTCAGTTTGATATACATAAAATACATCCAGGTGGAGACTGTCAAGTAAATTGTTATACACTGACTCTGGAGCTCAGAAGAGAAGTTTGATCTGCATATAAAAATGTGGAGAGTAGGAAGGGCATGGTGGCTCACGCCTGTAATCCTAGCATTCTGGGAGGCCGAGGCGGGCGGACTGCTCAAGGTCAGGAGTTCGAAAGCAGCCTGAGCAAGAGCGAGACCCTGTCTCTACTATACATAGAAAGAAATTAATTGGCCAACTAATATATAGAGAAAAAAATTAGCCGGGCATGGTGGCGCATGCCTGTAGTCCCAGCTACTTGGGAGGCTGAGGCAGCAGGATTGCTTGAGCCCAGGAGATTGAGGTTTCTGTGAGCTAGGCTGATGCCACGACACTCACTCTACCCCGGACAACAAAGCGAGACTTTGTCTCAAAAAAAAAAAATGTGGAGAGTAGAGTTATTGACATTTATATAAGACTTAAAACAAGGAGGATGGATATAAAAACTTAGAAAAATAATACAGAAAGGCAGATAGCCCAGATCTTTTGAGCTTGGTAACATAAAGATGCAGCAAGAAAAGATCCTGTGGATAAGCAAAAGAGAAAGCCAGATAGGGTGGGTGGAAATGAGAATGAGAGGTAAGATAGTAAAGATAACATATATGGACAACAGTTTGAAAAGAGAATAATATCGATGTCCTTGGAAGGAATTTCTTAATAATTATCAAATTGTGGAAAACTTGTCCGACATAGTAATCTTTTTTCCCTATAAGTATTGGAGTCGCCTTGACTTAATGAGGAAGAAAATACGTAAGAGTAATCATTGTATTCCACTAAAAAACCACCACAGTAGGCAATTTCATTACCTGATTCCACATCAAGGGAGTATTTATCAATAGCCAAGTTCATGGTTTGGTAGGCAGTGGTGCAAAAGTCTTCCAGAATCATGTATACAGCACTGTTGACATTAGGAGGGATAGAATTGGCAAACTTCATTCGGCTGTTCACCACAATACTGCCATTTCTGAAGTTGAGGATTTCTAAGTTCTGGAACCCTGTGAGATTTGACTGGAGATAGGGAACCAGCTACAATACATGAAAAGTGGTAAAATTATTGACAGGGCTTTGCATTTTGTTCAATATATACCAAAACAAAACAAAACAAAAAACAAGAATGAGCTACTACCTCACTTTTCCTAATTATATTGTATTTACATTTGAACTGTTAATTAACAAAAGTATAAATTAGGAGTTATTTGAAAGTACAAATCAGGAATGATTTGAGAGTATAAATTAGGAATGTCATGAGATTTTCATAGTGATATCTAAGAACCCCACGGAACTCATAAATAGTTTTAGACACCCAGAGAGTTTATTCTGTTTCACTAAAAGGATCACAACAGTGAAGGCATCTAGGTACCCACAAAACATTGGTCTCATAATAAAATGTGAAAAGAAATTTTAAACTTATTTCAGTCCTATAATTCATGGAATATAATCTTCCATGTAACCTGTCACATCACCCTCATTCCACTTTTATGTTTTCCATTTCTTGTGTCCATCTGTCTTACTGTTTTCCTACCAACCCCAGGTCTTGACACTATTTGTGGATGATAGGAAATGAATGTCCATAGCAGGTCACATTTTCCTTGATGTCGTGGGGGAGGAAGAGAGGTTTATACATGATTATTCACTAATACCCACGTTTCACTTTTTGCGCTTACCAATTCTAAGAATCTTTGCTCCAGGGCTTTATACTCCAAAGAGTTTTTATTAAACAGATCTTCTGAAAACATCATGTTTGTCACTCGGAGGCTGAAGAAAACTACCAACGCTCCTCCAGTCTGCGTATAACTCAAGTCAGCTCCTTTTGTTGGCCAAGCCACACTAGCCACCTCTGTGGGGTGAGCTTTTGTAGACATTTCCACATAACTACTAACCTTGCCATTTTGCTCTTGGATTAGCTCAGGCTGATAGTGATCTGTGTCTACCCCATCCAGTTCTAATGAAATATCCTGTACGCCCATAATTACTTCATCTTCCAGCAGGGTGGAGCTTGTGGTTGGAGGAAATTTAGTAGACTGCATCATGGAAGCTTTCAACCAGAGTCTGTCAGTACTCTGTGGTGTACTTGCCAATGTGTCTCTGGACAATTTCCCTAAGGAAGAAGTTCTTGCCCAAAGTGTATCTGATTCTGGCAATACAGTCCACAAAGGTTGCATGTCTGGCTCCACCACGGAAACCTTGCTGTCAAGCTGTTCTTGGTTGAATGACTCTGTAGTTTGTTCCATATCCTCCCTTAGGAAGGTGTCTACTTGATCAGGCTTATCAGTAGAAGCAGAGATTGCTACAGGTGCCAGTAGAAGAGGGGCTTCAGTAACTGAGTAATCATAAATGTCAGGTACCTCTGATGTGTGCCTGGGGAGAGTTAGAGATGCAGATTGAGTTGCAGTCACTAGTTTCTCATCTTCACCTTCAGCTGGCAAAAGTGAATCCTCATCTTCAGGCCATAACTTGGACAGAGGTTCAGTGCTCTTCTCTAATGAAATCTCACTCCATGGCCAAGTAATCACATCTGCCTTTTGCCCAGACCCTGAACCTAAACCACTCTCAAATATGAAGTCTTTTTCCATGGATGTGTCTGGCAGCAAAGGGCTCACTTCTAATTGGTCTTTGACTTTGGAGGTCAAGGAGTCCAAGCCAGAAGGTGCAGTTATTTCCTTAGCAAGAAGATCTAATGTGACAGAGGAGGTCAGATATGGTGAGGATGTTAAGGACACACCAGAGTCTTCCATGGATGGTACTGTTTCTTTTGGCACAGGTTGAGTGAATGGAATTGAAGGCAATGGATGGATAGGAAGAAAATCTTCTGAGTCTTCAATAGTGGCTAATCCTAAAAATAAGATGTTTTATTAATTAATCTACAGAGTTGCCAAAATATATTTCTAGTTCTCCTAATAAAACTATTTCCCTGTTTTTTTCCCATTAAGTTAGCAGGCATAGTTGCTGACTTTTACTTTGCTATATCTAGCAAACAATAAGAAGATATGATAATGCATTTGTGATACAATCACTCATGAAAATACCTCCTTGTTGAGGATGACTATCAAAATAATCTTCAGGCCGGGCGCGGTGGCTCACGCCTGTAATCCTAGCTCTCTGGGAGGCCGAGGCGGGCGGATTGCTCAAGGTCAGGAGTTCAAAACCAGCCTGAGCAAGAGCGAGACCCCGTCTCTACTATAAAATAGAAAGAAACTAATTGGCCAACTGATATATATATAAAAAAATTAGCCGGGCATGGTGGCGCATGCCTGTAGTCCCAGCTACTCGGGAGGCTGAGACAGAAGTATCGCTCGAGCCCAGGAGTTTGAGGTTGCTGTGAGCTAGGCTGACGCCACGGCACTCACACTAGCCTGGGCAACAAAGCGAGACTCTGTCTCAAAAAAAAAAAAAAATCTTCAAACACTTGATTTTTTTCTATTCCAGGAAAATAAAGAATTGCTGATAACCATATTGACTGACAACAAAGACTAAATCCAGTGGTATTTTAAGGACAAAATTCCCCCAGAATTGTGTTTCTCTATGAATTCCCAATTTCTCTGTTAAGTTTATTGCCCATCATCCTTCAGATTTACAGGATGTAAAACATCCTGAACTCGCTATTTATATCTTAGTTCATCTTCACCTTTCAAACATATATGCCATCCCTAAGTCACACTGATTTTTCTTTTCCTCTACAACATCTAGAAGATCATCTATTTCATTCTCATTCCTTTATCTCTGTTGTGGCTGCCCTAGTTCAGGCTCTCTCCTCACCACTACTACAAGCTAAAGATCTTTAGACTTGGCCCCACAATTAATCCTATTATAAGCTACAGGAATAATCTTCTTTGAGGCTGTTTGTTTACTGCTCCCAAATTCAAGTAAGTAAAGTGGTTCTTTAATACGAGTAGTAGTAATTTAACTAAATCATACATCCTGCACTATTGCCTTCAAAATATCGATTAATTGATTCCCACCCCAGCTCCCCAAGTTTATTTCTTATTACTTACCTATTTGGACTCCCCATTCCAACCAATTAAATCTGATTGTTTCTTCTCTCACACAAGTTTCCCAAGACATTTTCCCCCTAATAAATGCTACCATGCTTTTCTCATAACCATAGTCTCTTCCTCTCTTTGAAACCCTTGTCACGTTCCCCTTCCTCCTCCTTCTCTCCCCCTCTTCCCCCCATAAAAAAACCCTTGTCACCTGATATAATAAAAAGTATGAAAAGTGATTGGCTCCTCACCATCTTCTAGTAAGTGAGATCCAGAAGTCCTTTCCTCAGAAGCCACAGGCAAGCCAGTCTGAAGCACTGCTGGGGTGACAGAATGAAGAGTCAAGCTGCTAACCTCTAAAACCTCTGGGGGAGAGCTGAGGCCCATCCTCGAGGGAAAGGCTAATTTGCGTGTAGACCCTAAATCACCCAAAGGACTTTCTGACCACAGTTCCCTGCCAGTGGTTGAGGGAGGACCAGAGCTGAAATCAAGTGGTGAAACACTGCTGGTGGTGGATTCATCTGCTGAGGGCCATGCAGCTTGAAGAGTATTATCCTGGGGGGAAAAAAAGGCTAAATCATATCATAGATAAAAGAAACACATGGAAAATTATTTCAAGTAACCCCACTCTATCTATATTCCTAGATTTTGTAGGGACAAGGGAGCAATGTAATATGGGGGTAAGGGGGAATATAAGCTTTAGAAGCAAACAGATCTGTAGTCAAAACCCAATTGAGCCACTTACTATTGGAAAATGTAGAAAAAAACTATGTGAACTCTCAAAACTCCCATGTAAAGTCAAGAGAGATGAGATAACATATTTAAAGGACCCCAAACAAAGTGAATTTGTGGAAGAAAATAGTTTTTCTTGCTTTAGATTAGGAGTCCTCAAACTTTTTAAACAGGGGGCTAGTTCACTGTCCCTCAGACCGTTGGAGGGCCGGAGTATAGTTTAAAAAAGATATATGAACAAATTCCTATGCACACTGCACATATCTTATTTTGAAGTAAAAAAACAAATGGGCAAAAACACCCGCATGTGGCCCTCAGGCCGTAGTTTGAGGATGCCTGCTTTAGATGGTTCATTTCCATCTTTTTAGCTTAAATGACTTTAAATACATAAAAGTTCTTAACATCTGTAATTTGTTGGCAAAGCCCTAACATTGCTCACAGCAGGAAAGAACAATTAGCAATTTTATTCATCATTCTGAAAGATATTTAATTAATTAAGGTCCTCCATCTTGAACAGAAATGTCACCACATCAAATGAATAGCAACACCTGTCAAATGGCATCACACATACAAAATATAAACTATTTTCTCCTTCTCTTTCTCTTTAGTGACTTTTTACTAATATAGTACTAATCTTATCTTGAAATTTAGCTTCAGGAATAGAAAAGTAGAAACATAATCTTGAACATGGTAATTATTTAATCTTATGAAAAACAGGATATATAAAAAAAAAAGTTTAATGATGACGCTAATAGGTAAAATGGCTATGGCATTTGGCAAAAGTTTACATGTTTTAATCCATGCTGGGCTATGAATAACAAAGAACAAGAAGTGCCATGTACACAGAAGGAACTCATAAAATAATTTGGGGGTGTAGAAAACTAAAGGAGGAAAATGAAAAGGAACAATCATTCTCCACCATAAATAGGTATTAGAGTCACATGGAAGCTTTTTAAGAACACCAATTCCCAGGGCTCACACCCAGGGATTCCAACTGAATTGGTCCACAAGTAGGACCTAGATATTGGTACTTTTAAAAGCTCCTCAGTACAAGAAACAGCTTGATCATGTTCTGGGGATGCTATTCCAGCCTGGGTTTCTAATATACTTCTTCAATTGCTGAATAGTTATATTTCTTATCAACTGAAACCTTTAAGAAATTCTTCACATTTATAAACCTATCCAAAGACAAGAATTCATGGAAGAGAACAAAGTGAAAACTAAGAAATTCTGAATCTAACTCCCTATCTACTCCTCTAAGAGATTACTACCAGTGGGAGTGAACTTGCACTGATATACACTCTCAAGCCTAATATGCTTTTTGAACAAAAGCTCGCAATGTTAAGGTGGCTAATTAGAGTTCAATGTATGGCCATGAAACAGAACCTACTGGCCTATGGAGGAAGTCAACACAACATATGGCCTAATTAGTCTGTTGCACTTTGTCTACACACCTCCCCTTGTCTCTCCATCAAAGGTCTGCATGAGGAAGCTTTGAACAGTCCACTCTTTTTCTTTTTTTTTTTTTGAGACAGAGTCTCACTCTGTTGCCCGGGCTAGAGTGCCATGGCATCAGCCTAGCTCACAGCAACCTCAAACTCCTGGGCTCAAGTGATCCTTCTGCCTCAGCCTCCTGAGTAGCTGGGACTATAGGCATGTGCTACCATGCCTGGCTAATTTTTTCTATATATTTTTAGTTGTTCTACCAATTTCTGTTTTTAGTAGAAATGGAGTCTCGCTCTTGCTCAAGCTGGTCGCAAACTCCTAACCTTCAGCGATCTTCCCGCCTCGGCCTCCCAGAGTGCTAGGATTACAGGCATGAGCCACCGTGCCTGGCATCAGCCCAGTCTTTCAATCACAGGGGAGGGACTCTGAGGTAAGAAATCACCAGGCATGTCCTAATGTACCCTTTCCCCTAGTGACTAATGCACAGGAGAGATAACAAAGAAGGTCATTGGCTACATGAAGAGATACCCTCAGTTTCATCCACTATTTTTAATCTAAAAACACTCTGTCAAGTAAACTTATTTTCTTTTGTGAAACTCAGTTATACCATCTCTTCCTGCCTTGTCCATACTGTTTTAATTAGATCCTATTTTAAGTGGGTTACCACGCCGGTTATTCTGTATTCTGGGGGGCTACCACGACAGATCCTTCTCTTCTTGCTCTCTGCCCTAGGAGGCTGGCCCCTGTGAACAGCATCATACCTGCTCCCTTGCTAGCTGTCTTCTGTTTTAGTTTGGACTATGGGAAGCACAACTCAAAGGACAGGAGGAGTGAAAGGCTGGGTATTTCTTCTCTGCTTCCTCCAAGCCTCAATACTGTGTCCCTCCACAATTACAGCTCTAGCTCTTGCTGGGCTCCAGGAACAGCATTTCTTCCCCTTGTCCTGTAATCCAACGGATGATAATGGCTCCCCACTGTTGTTACTCTCTGCATACCTCAGCATCCCTTTTTAGCTTTCTTAACCCTATCCACGCCCGTTAGTAAATCTATCTAGGTTCTCCTGCTACTATTGAGACCCTGGATGTGCCATATTATACAAATGCACCACCATTTTGTAGTGTAGTGCATTTAAAAATTCATAAACATTTGAATCATTTCTGTTAAAAAGTGATTAGATAATTCATAATGAAATATAAATGGCCAGCAAATAAGCAATGAAACTCAATTGAAATAACATGAACTAAAAATGATATCATTCTGCTTAAATATAATTAGAAATTTAAAATCTGGAAAGGAAAGAGAGGATGATTAAAAGTACATGATGTAATATTAGTAAATATTTTGGGCAATGTAGCTTTGATCTACAAAAAAAAAGAGGAATAGAAGCAAGACACATCTGGGCAATCTAGGCATTAGGCTGGAGTCTAATAGCCTGAGTCTGTTGAAGTGAATGTATGAGAGAAAAGGCAAGACATGTATAAAGAAAGAGGCAACTGAAGGCCATCCTCAAATGACTAGATACAACTGCAAATGAGCTACAGAGGAAGAGAAAGGTTTCAAGATAAGAAATTCCCTCTTGAGGAATTCCCCATCAGAAGTGAACCTGAGGATAATAAGAGTTGATTCACGAGTCAGGCCCCCCCAAAATGATCTAATCAGTTGGATGACTTCCGGCAATTTTCTAATAAGCTTTAAGAGCATGCATTCACCAGCAGCAGTTAACCTCACATTACTCTACACAGTGGGGGTGACTTGGGATTGCTGACCTGTGTGCAGGGTGATCCTATACAACTTAGCACCAATACATGCAAAGCTGCCTCATCCTTCTGCCTAGAGCAATGGTCCCTAACCTTTTTGGCACCAGGGACTGGTTTCATGGAAGACAAATTTTCAAAGGACCAGGACAGGATAATAGAGGATGGTTTCAGGATGATTCAAGCATTTATTGTGCAGTCAGACCTCTCTGCTAATGATAATCTGTATTTGCAGCCACTCCCCAGTGCTTCTGAGCATCACTGCCTCAGATCATTAGGCACTACATTCTCATAAGGAGCACACAACCTAGATCTATCAAACTACGGGCCACGTGGGGGTGTTTTTGCCTGTTTATTTTTTTACTTCAAAATAAGATATGTACAGTGTGCATAGGAATTTGTTCATAGTTTTTTTTAAACTGTAGTCCGGCCCTCCAATGGTCTGAGGGACAGTGAACTGGCCCCCTGTTTGAAAAGTTTGAGGACCCCTGCAGAAGAGCTTGTGCTCCTATGAGACTCTTAATGCTGCTGCTGATCTGACAGGAGGTGGAGCTTATGCAGTGACGCGAGGGATGGGGAGCAGCTGCACATACAGATGAAGCTTAGCTCAGGTGCCCGCCACTCACTGCTTGCTGTGCAGGCCAGTTCCTAACAGGCCATGGACCAATACCAGTCTGTGGCCCCGGGGGTTGGGGACTGCAGGCCTAGAGGGTTTAAATTATTCTGGGTCCTCAAGAACGGACTAGATGGAGAAAGCAAGAGTTCAAGTGCAGATAAATAGAAGACAATAAATTGAAGTCTAGAAAGTGAAAGGAAAAAAAATTAAGTAAAAATACCAGTTTTTGGCTTGCCAAAGGCTCATGTGGTTTACAAGGCCATCCTTTGGTTTATAAAAATCTTTTTTTCTTTCTTTCTTTCTTTTTTTGAGACAGAGTCTCACCCTGTCACCCTGGGTAGAGTGCAGTGGTGTCATCCTAGCTCACTGCAACCTCAAACTTACGGGCTCAAGCCATCCTCCTTCCTCAGCCTCCCAAGTAGCTGGGACTACAGGAACATGACATAACGCCTGGCTAATTTTTCTATTTTTAGTGGAGACGGGATCTCACTCTTGCTCAGCCTGGTCTTGAACTCCTGAGCCCAAGCAATCCTCCTGCCTAAGGCTCCCAGAGTGCTAGGATTACAGGTGTGAGCCCAGCCTTATAAAAATCTTATGTTGGGAAGGGAGACTAAGCATGCACATGTATGTGAATATAACAAAAGTATCAAACTTTAGAACTTAGAAGGAGTCATAAGAATCAGTAGTCCAACCATGTCTATTAAAGATAAGGAGCTGAGGTTCATAGAAGTAAAATGCCCAAAGTCACAAAAAATAGAGAAAAAATTAGAACCAGAAGTCGAGTCCCTAGATTTCTCAGTACCAGTACTTTCCCCACTATAACAGTGACTCATGCAGAAGTCTCTATAAGTATATACTCCCAGATGGTGAAAGGATTCCCAGAGGAGAAACTGGAACCAACAGACTTGGCAGTCCATGCTCATTTGGGTTACCATATTCCACAGATCTACAAGGTTCAGGCAAACACAGAGGGGATTGAGAGAGAGAGGCCATTTCCTAATATTTAATTGTGTGCTCTATAGAATATGGAGGCTGTCTGTATAGAAAGAAAGATCTCTTCTTTCTTTTTCTAGTATTTAAAACCATATATCTATTTAGGGAAAAGTAAGAAGGCCATTTGCTCAATAACAAGTTCTATTTTTCAAAAACTAGTTACAGTATGCCAGAACTCCTTTAAACACTACATATATGATTAGTTCATTTAGCCTTGGAAAACCAAAATTATATAATTACTGCTATTATTTCATTTTTTTAAAAAAGTACTTTCCATACTAGGAAATTCACTTTTTTTCCCTCTTAATTATCTAATGCTACTTTAAGAGATGTGTTAAAGCTACCCATGCTTGCAGCTGAATTAGGCATATTTACATTCTTGCAAATTCCAAATGTGCTTTTCCTTTCAATTCCAAGTAAGATGGCTTGAGCTCTCTAATCCATGCTTAAGAAATAGAGTTTTATCAGACAGAGCCTATGACCTGACACACATTAGGAAAGCAGCTTAATCCTCAAGGAAGAAGAAGTCCTCAAGCGATATACATTATTTCAATTTATCTATAAACTAAATGCCTTTCATTTCATAAAAATTAAAAGTCGAACATATAAAATCTTTGATAAAAGTCAAGTCACTAATAGGCAACATAAAATGTAAAAGTAAACAATTTGACTTTTCAGATAAAAAAAGGACAACCATCCATTCCAAATAAATACCCCCTTAAACATGGCATGGCAATGAAGCTTTCTCATACATTTTGAAAGGTGGACACTTACATGCCAGGAATAGCACTTCATTTATTTTTATACCAATAGATGTTCTCATAGTAACAAATTCAATTCATGAATTCTTTTAGTTCAATTGTAGTATATTGACAAGTTTAATATCATATTGGCCAGTTTCATTTCTGTTAATGCCAATTGAAAAGCTTGCTAGTGCTATAGAAAACATACTCTGCAACATGTGATTTTCCAAGTCAGGATGCCAGAAAAGTGTCAAATTTAACAATCCAACATTCCTATCTTTAAAACAATTTAAAAAAATCAAATCTAAAGAAAATAAACATAACTTCTATAATAGAGTAAAATCTTACTAACAGTTAGAAAAGGAAGAAAGGAATAGAAGGTGGGTTGATAGGAGGAAGGGAAGGAAATAAAAAGAAAGGAATAACCAGATATTTATAATAAATCATTCCTTTTATCATGTCTTATAATCTACTAACATTCCAATGTCTCCTTAAATTATTAATGCCCTAAAGTAACCGCTATTCAAAAATAAGGAGTTGGGTTAAATGCAAATGGAACCACTGCAACATAAATGAACAAATGAGCCCAGTTAGTGCTAGCCATCGTTAATGGGGCAGCCACAGCCATGCTCTAGCCACTTTCTGCCACAAAGAAATGTGACTTTAATGGTATCAGATCTTTCTGGTTTTCAAAAGAAACTAGCAATCTTCATTTTTACATAAAAATCTCCTCGTTTTTAAATATTGGCTTACTTTTAAAAATCTGGCCCCAGAGTGTATATCTGGAGCCGGATCTAGCTGGTCTCCAGATTGCAACCTCTGTTTTTTGTAGGCATCCCTGTCTTTACACTGTGATTCTAAAATATCATCAAAAGCTCCTCCTGTGGTTAGAGAAGCCCCAGGCCCAGTGTAATAAGGAGAAGTGGAGACTGGTGGCGCCATCACCACTGCCTGCCACTGCACCCTGGATGGACTTCTAGGACAGTATTTGCATCACCCTGTTTGTTTAGAAATCTGTCTACTACCGCCAGACTGGAAACTTCTTGTAGGCAGGGCCACACCTTATTCATCTTAGTTTCTTCAGCACTTGGCACATGAAAAGCACAAAATAAATATATTTGAATGAATGAATAAGTGAATGAATAAATACACATCAAATGAATATACTCTCTGATGTCAATCTCCCCAATCTTTTTTCTCTAAATATATAACTCAGTGAAAAGATTATTTCCAGTGATTCCACATTGCAAAATTGAGTTGCTCTATAATTAAGTAGAAGAAATGGCTAGAGATTAATGGTTAAATGAACTGGGAGCATGCTTTATAAATTTCTATTGCTGGATTAAAGCTAAGAAACAAGTATTTCAAATAGCTGATCTGAAACACAAAAGAAGTCTTAAGAAGGTAGAAGAAGGGGACAGTGTAGATGAGAAGGAAGTTTCCCTACTGTGTCTATGTGAGAATCACAGATTTCTGCACTCATTGTAGATAGGTAAGTCTCTAGCAGTGTTGTAGTTGTAGTTGTCACTGTTGTTTTAACAGCACTTGAGAAAGCCATTTCCTTTTCTACCAGATGCCTACCTAAAAGTGAAGTGGCAAGTGGAAACGTGGAGGGGAAGGAGTTCCTGATGGAGCTGAATGGTAAGAACAAAAAGGAGTGTTTATTCCACGCTGTTTCTGCACAAATGGAAAAGTTTTCAGTCCAGGTTATAAGGAGGCCTGATTTAGAGTCCCTGTCATGTGTCAGCTAGCCCATATTTTCACTCTTCCTTCTCTCCCTTCAATACACACAGTTCTCTAGTCCTTGGAGCCTAAACTTTCTTTTTTCACTATAATCTTTGACACAAAAATCCATACTCTGTACCTATGTACATCAATTTATAGTCTTAGCTATAAAAACGATTTCTGGATAACTCTTAAAAAAAACAACTCAGTGGGAATTTAATAGCTTAATTATCACCAAACAAGTAGGAACCATAAATAAGTTTTCTACCAAGTGTGGAGTTTGGCAATGTAGACTTAACCACTGCGGAAGACTTAACCACCACTACATTTTCTGAACCAACACTTGGTACCTGTGAGCTGACAACTATGAGTAATGTTCCAGGGATGATGCAAGAGAATATTTGAAATGGGAACAGCTTGGGAAATTCATGATGCCAAAATAAGCAGGTGAGGGTACAAAGGAGAGAAGCTTGAGGGCCTGCCTCTAGGCAAAAAACATAGAAACATACCAGAATAGAGGATGGCGTTGCCTGAAGACTTGAGCTTTGGGCGTTCCAAACTTCTTCAGCTTGGGGAAGCAAAACTCCTCTCACTGAGAAAAAAACAATATTAAAGAACATTTTTAGTTGAGACACTGTTGTATTTAAAGTGAGTTTAGATTTTGACAGAACAGATGGGGCAGATTTGCTTATAAAATGTTTGCTACTTTATTCAGATATTATTTTATTTATATTAACACAATCCATCTGAATTATAAAATTACATTTAGGACACTCCTATATTATTTCCTTTCCCTTCTCAAGTCAGTTTTTACTCTTCAAGATTCCTATGACAGTTCTTTTTAAATTGATTTTTTTTATGTTAAGTAAAAAAGTTGTACTGAAATTTCAATTCATTTGGTGGATGCTAAGAATGGTTGAAAAGCATGAAAAATGATTTCTTTCTTGGCAGAAGGTATATTTGAAAAATAGGCAAGGACACCAAAAAGCTTCATTGCTATAACCATATTAAAGACCAATAAAGGGAATAGATTGTAGAATTTAATTTGGCAAAGATTTACTGAATCCTTGCTATTTACCATAGACTTTACCGAAGTTGAGGCTATAAACATTAATAAAACCAAGTTTCTTTTCTGGGAACATTGCCTATGTCAGAGAGATATGCACAAATTAGAAATTATAAAATGATGTGAGGGGTATATATATGATATATGGGAACACAGAAAAAGAATCAATAGATTTTGCCTGGAGGGGAGAGGGAATTGATAAAAGCTAAAAGGAAGGAATTTCCAGAAGGGTGATCTGGTGTATGCAACCAAAACTAGAAGCAGAGTCTCTTTATTCACCTGTTCCCACTAACCTGACAGAGTGGGGTCAAGCAGAAGTCAAAACTCTATTTGGTTTAATATTTTTCAAAACTCTTTTCAACTGTGTATACTTGTCTATGGCAAATAAGCTCCACGAGATCAAGGATGATCGTATCTTTTGAGATGATAATCAAGTTACCTAGAAAGCTGCAGCCATTCAGAACTATGAAGTTGGCATGACAACAGAAATGTATTTTAGGGAAAAAATTCTGAGTAATTGAAACACACATCAAACGAAAGGCCAAGGCACCTGAATTAGTTGGTACTAGATATTTTAAAGCTTTTGTTGAACTTCCTTACCAATTCTAAGAGGGTTGTTGGCCTCTTTTTTAGGACACCCTTTAGGAGGTAGCTTCTTGCCCAGTCTCATTAAAGGAAGATCTGGCAATGATGCTTGTGGATGTCATTTCCTAAACAACCACACGTTGCCTATCATATACCGTAATCCTCATGCCATTCCCCACCACGCTGGTTACTGACCATGGTGTTTGCACCTTCTGCTCAATTTTGGTTCCAATCTCCCTTAGGTCATGAACTCTTAAATATATCTTTTCTCTATTTGATCCCAATATCCAGATTCCTAGACCCTTCTGCCCACATGCTGTCCCTATGGTTAGTACCTAACTAGTCTCTATTAGCCTCACCAAAAGGACTTCTGCAGTTTAAAATTATAACAAGTTTCTCTGTTCACTATTTTATCTAGCCCAAGTAGTCCAGCAAGATTCAACAATGGAAAGGGGAGCATATGAGGAAGTGAGCCCAGGGTACCTGCTTTGCTCCCTGCAAAGTCTCCCCAATGTTTAAGAGCAGATAGCTTTGTATCACTATCATCCACTGGAGAGAGAAATTCTCCATCTTACAGTCCTATGTAACTCACATAAAGTTCAGGCCAATTTGTGGCCCTGTCTCAGCAGAATGTCACATTAAAGAAACATGAGTCCAGCAGTCAAAATAGTTGAAAAGCAATTTAAAGTTTTAGTCCAGCCCATCAAAAATAAACAAACAAAAAAACTATTTGAGGAATAAGGAATTATGTCACACACAGTAAAATGTTATTAAAACTTTCTCTCTCTCTCTCTCTCTCTCTCTCTCGCTCTCTCTCTCTCTCACACACACACACACACACACACACACACAACTACCTGGAAAGACAAGACTTACCTTTCTCTCTCTCTAAATATTTTTCTCCAAACTCCAACACAAAAAATCTTGATTCCCAAAGTACTTTTCTACTCACCTTTCAAACCTATTCTATCCTCTTCCATTAATAATTTTCTGTTCTTCCTATGTAAATCTCTCTGGCTTCTCTAGTGTCTTTTTGTTTGTTTGTTTGTTTATTTATACACACACACACACACACACACACACACACACACACACACACACACAGCCTAGGTGAAGGCTGCCTGACAGGACAGAGGCTCTTTTCTCTTTAAAATGTGTGGGAGGTGGAGAGGCTGTAAAAATGCATCTTTGTTAGTATTGCCTCTCACATGAGGATTTTCCTCTTTAGCAGCTGGTACTTCTCCCACGCTGTCATTTCCATAAAGTATACTCCACTGCACATTGTAACAGCCAAACTACCAATGCAGAAGAAATCATGAAGAAGCAAATACGAGGTAGCAAGTAAAGTAACAAGACACTGTGTCCCTGATAAGTTAACATGTTGCACACTAGTAGCCAGATTCTTAGCAAGCTTTAGTCCCAGGTTGACTGGGCCACCCATTAGCCTCCACATCCAGGGTAGATACTCTCTTTGTGATAATCCTAGATCTACCTGTTCATTATAGACCATAACTGGATCTCTATAGCTATCTGAATTTAAAGTCAGTATTGGATTCCCTGGGATTCTGCCCAGTACCCATTATCAGTTCTCTGACCTCCATCTTTGATTATCTTTCCTGCTCCTCTTCTGATCTCTGACTTGTAAGCCATTACTGGCTGACTTACCTTGGATAGTTCATGTCTTGGTTGCCTGGGCAGCATATAGCCTGTTTCAATTCATACTTTCAGGTACTACTTTCACTTTTTCTTACGCTTTGCTCCCATTTCTCTGAACTATTTCTGTCATGCTATTCTCTACTTTTCCCACTCTGTCTACAAATATTCCAGAGATCCCCTCATTAGTATTTCCAAAATAGCTGCATGGAGAGAGCTCCATTCATATCAGATGGTTCCTGTCTCATACAGTCTAGAGAACAGCATGAGAACAGTTCTCTAAATTTATGTGTCAGAACCACATATATTTAAGGAAATTAGTTTTCACCAGACCATACTGGAAAAGAAACTAAAACTATACAAAGAATTCACGATGGGTATCAAACTCACCATTGATAAGCTGAAGGGAGTCAGGATCTGGATTCAAAGAGGTGTTCCCCAGCAAAAAATTCTGGTGCAGTGTCTCGGCAATATAATCTCTGAAGTTACTAATTGTATAAACAGCAGTGGGTTTATCATCCAATTCCACAAGGCCATGGTTTTCTACCTTGTTGGAGTGAAGGCTAATTAGGTCCCAGGTCGTATTGCTGATGGCCTGGCCATTGAAAGTAACAGCATACTGAACATCAATGCCACTATGGATGAAAAGAGAGAATAGATTAGATCCAGCTAAGGAAGCACAAAAGAGCACTGAACCCATGGAGAACAAACACTAGACTTAGAAGGGGAGTCTCAAAAAGCAAGGATTCTATTAATATCACCATTCTTTTCAGACTCTGGGTAGCCCTCTGCCATCCCCTTGTCCTTCCTGAAGAATGGAGGGTCACAGCTCTGAGAATAGGGAAAGACTTCCAAGGAAGCTACAGAGGCAACCCCCACATTCTCACCCTTTCTTTCCTCCTTCAAACCAACTCCTCCCTTCACTATCAGCCTGCTTCCTTCTTTCCCTATTAGCATTTCTCCCTCCAATTAAAAAAAGAAAAAGCCTTTCTAATTCCTCCCAACAATGGAAAATCCTTTCATATCACTTTATTGTTGTTGGATGACACAAAACATAGTTAACATAGATAACTAAAACATAGTTATTTATTATGGAAGAAAAATTATGAAAACTTGGAAATAAAGCAAATTGATGATTCATTATTTTCTCCCAAATTTCATATCAGAGTATTTTCTAATATGACAGTTCGTTCAGGAGACATGTTTTTGTTTGATGTCCCAGATAATTTACAGTTCTATAAATTTTAAGACTAAATTGTGAAAAACTACTATGATGTGATTTTTTTTCTTGGCCTGGTAGGAAACAAAACTCTAAAGTTTATGATTTTACTACCCTCCAGGGCATTAACCAATTTTGTATCTAACTTAGTAATCTTTTCCCAATTAACTGTATAAATTTTTAGAGGTTTTAAATCCTCTAAAAAACTAGCTCTGATTTTTTTTTTCTGGCTGACGTCCTCATTAATGAATTATGTAAAATCAAAAAATAAATAACTGTCTGGGAATTAGGCTTTTTCACTATCCACCTTTTCATAAGCAAACAAAGAGAAGTCTTCTTGGAATAAAAGATAGAAAGAAAATAAATAAGTAGGAGTTCATGTGTTATTTGGCATTTTATTAAATAGTCATTTGAAGATCAAATGACATCAGAATATAAAATTTTAAAGCAAATGGAAATAGTTCTCTAGACTCTAACTCAGATTTCTCTAACAACAAAAAGCTAACATTTTGTAAGTGCTTATAATGTGACAGGCATTTTACATACTCTCATTTAATTTTCATAACAACATGAAAACAATTTTATTATCTTCAAAATATTGTTGAGGAAATAAAACTTTATAGTAATTAAAAGACTTAAAATTTCATAACATAAATGTGGTAGAGTCAAAATTTAAACACAAATCTGATGCTATCATCTACATTCTGACCTACTATGCTACACTCTCAGTAGGTTTAATTAGACTATTACTAGAAAAGTCATTATGAGGACAGCTCTATACCAGGCACCACTCTGACTTCCAGCCAGTCTGTGGGCACAGCCATCATAGGCAGTACCCAGAGCAAGCACGCCGAGATCTCTCCAGAAGAAAGGAGAACACTACCTTCCCAGAGAAAAACCACTTACGACAGACATTCAATGAAAGCAATTTGCTACTTTCAGACATTCTGTAGCACAAAACAACTCCCAAATCAAGGCATAAAAATAAATTGAGCTAAATAAATAAATAAATTCAGTGCTTCTTTCTCTGAACTTACATATTCTTACATATTCTGTGATTATAGCCTTTGTTGTTTTGTAAAAAGATTCCGTTTACAGTGACTGTCTCAGTCTTTCCTTGAGGTTTTGTTTTTTGTTTTTTTTTTAATAATTTCTATTTTAAAATATTAGGGGGTAGAAGTGTTGCTACATGGATGCACCATGTAATGCTGAAGTCAGAGCTTTTAGTGTGCCTGTTACCAGAATAGTGTACATTGTACCTGATAGGCAAGATTTTATTCCTCACTCCTTCTTACTCTCCCCCTTCTTAGTCTCCAATGTCCTTAAAACCATTTTATGAGCAGATGTCCCCATCGTTTATCTCCCTCTTGTTAGTGAGAACATACAGCGTTTGTTTTTCCATTTCTGAGACACTTCACTTAGGATGATTTCTCCAGATCCATTTAAGTTGCTGCAAATGGCATTATTTCATTCCTTTTTATGGCTGAGTAGTACTCCACGGTGTGTGTGTACACACACACACACACACACACACATATATATACACACACATATATATACACACACACACATTTTCTTTATCCACTCATCAATTGATGGGCACTTTTTGATATGCTGTTGAATTCAGTTTGCTAGTATTTTGTTGAGTATGTTTGCAGCTATGTTCATAAGGGATATTGGTCTGTAGTTTGCCTTTTTTGCTGTGTACTTTCCTTGCTTTGGTATCAGGGTAATACTGGTTTTCTCGAGTTAGGGAGGGTTCCCTCTTTCTTAATGTTATGGAATAGTTTCAGCAGAATGGGGGCCGGTTCTTCTTTGTAGGTCTGGTAGAATTTGGCTGTGAATGTCCTGTGGCTTTTTGTTGTTGTTGTTGTTGTTAGGAGATTTTTAAATTATTATTATTGTTTCAATCTCACCACTCATTATTGATCTATTCAGGATTTCTATTTCTTCCTGATTCAGGATTGGGAGGTTGTGTGTTTCCAAGAATGTATCCATTTCCTCTGGGTTTTTGATTAATTGTTTGTGTAGAGGTTTTCATAGAGTCACAGATGACATTTCTGTGGTATCAGTTGTGGTTTCTCCTTTACATTTCTGGTTGAGCTTATTTGAGTCCTTTCTCTTCTATTTCTGGTTAATCTGGCTAGTCATCTATTGATTTTGTTTATCTTTTCAAAAAGCCAACTTTTTGTTTCATTGATCCTTTGTAATTTTGTTCGTTTCCATTTTGTTTAGTTCTGCTTTAAGCTTTGGTCTTTCTTTCCTTCTACTAGCTTTCAGTTTGGTTTGTTCTTCTATTTCTAGTTCCTCAAGGTGTGGCATTAGGTTGTTAATTTTTAACCTTTCTGTCTTTTTCATGTAAGTGTTTAAGGCTATGAACTTTTCCTTAGCACTGCTTTTGATGTATCCCATAGATTTTGGAAGCTTGTGTCGCCTCTGTCATTCAATTCAAAAAATTTTTAATTTCCATCTTGACTTCATCAAGGATCATTCAGCAGGAGGCTGTTTTAATTTCCATGTATTTTGGTAGTTTTGAGAGTTCCTCTTGGAATTGAATTCTAGTTTCATCACATTATAGTCTGAGAAGATACATAGTATGATGTTGATTTTTCTACATTTGCTGAGACTTGTTTTGTGGGCTAATATATTATCTATCTTGGAAAGTATCCCATATGCTGATGAGAAGAATGTATATTCTGCAGTTTTAGGGATATAATGTTCTGTAAATGTCTGTTAGTTCCATTTGTTCTAGAGTCCCATTTAAGTTTCATTGTTGGTCTTCTGCCTCAATGATCTATATAGTTCTGCCGGAGGAATGTTGAAGTCCCTGGCTATTATGATTCTGGCTGTTTCTTTCCTTCCTTAGATCTAGTAAAGTTTTACAAATTTAGGAGCTTCTGTGTTAGGTGCATATATATTTAGGATTATTATATCTTCTTGTTGAATTGATCCCTTTATCATTATATAATGACTATCATTGTCTTTTTTTTACCATTGTTGATTTAAAGTCTATTGTGTCTAATATGAAAATAGCTACCCCTGTTGATTTTTCATTTCCATTTGCATGAAATTTTTTTTCTTTTTTCTCCTTTTATTTCGTCATATTACAGGGGTACAAATATCGTTGGAGTTACATATATTGCCCCTACCACCCCTCCCCCCAACCGTGCCAAAGCTTCAACCATGTCCAACCCCCAGGTGGTGCGTACCACACTCATTATGTAAGTATACTCCCTTCCCCTCCTCCCCCCTCCCACCTCCCCACCACCCAATAAAAGTGTTTTTTGTTTGTTTTTTTGACATTTTGATTACATTGTATATCTTTGCCTCTCCCCTAAGAAGGGTTATTTTTTCTACCTCTTTCTCTTGAGTCTCTGAGAATCTTTACCAGTTAAATGGATTTCTTAGAGATAGTATATATTTGGGTTTGGTTTTGTTTTTTATCCATTCAGCTAATCTACATCTTTTAAGGGGAGCATTAAGACCATTCACATTCAATGTTAGTATTGATATGTGAGATACTGTTCTGATCCTCATTTGGATTGTTACCCAGTTTTGTTCCCTTCCTTGTGTTACTGTTTTATAAAAGCTATGCCTTTTAACTTTTGGGTGTTGTTACACTGGTGGGTATCGATTGTTCTGTTCCATGTATTGAACACTTTTAAGCATTCCTTGTAGGACAATTCTAGTGATGACAAATTCCCTTTGTGTTTGTTTGTCTGAGAAAGATTTTATTTCTCCTTTATTTATTAAACATAGTTTTTCGGGATACAAAATTCTTCATTGGCAGTTACTCTGTTTAAGGAGACTAAGGACAGGACCCCATTCTTTTCTGGCTTATAAGGTTTCTGTTGTGAGAAGTCTGCTGTTAGTTTGATGGGTTTTCCTTTGTAAGTTCCCTGATATTTTCACCTCATGGCTCACAGGAGCTCCTCCTTCACATTGACTTTGGCCAGTCTGATGACCATATGCCTTGGTGATGCCCTTTTTGCAATTAATCTTCCAAGTGTTCACTAAGTTTCTTGTATCTGGATGTCTAAATCTCTAGCAAGACCAGGGAAGTTTCCTTCAATTATTCCCTCGAACAGGTTTTCCAGATGTTTTGCTTTTTCTTCTTCCCCCTCAGGGATGCCTAGGATTCTTATATTCAGATATTTTACATAATCTCATATTTTGTAGATTTTGTTCATTCCTCTTGATTCTTTAGAGATGTCTTCAAGCTCTGAAATTTTTTCTTCTGCTTGTTCTAGTCTATCCTTAAAACTTTCCACTGTGTTTTCTATTCCCTAAGTGAAATTTTCATTTCCAGAAGTTCTATTTGTTTGTTTGTTTTTTAACATAATACCTCTACCTCTATAATTATTTTTTCATTCATGTCCTGAATTATTTTTCTGGTTTCTCTGAGTTGGTTTACCA